AACTTGGAGTAAAGAGAACGTTTTTAGCAATGTGGGTAATTAACCATGTGAACAGATTGCCAAGGGAAATCTGTTAAAGTCTCATGAGGAGAGTTTAAAAGAAGACAAACTGTTTTCCCAGAAGGTATGCTCCAGTTCATCCATAAATCATACACTGAGTCCAGAAATAACTGGGAGAGCTTCTCCATTCTGGTCAGACTTCTCGATCACTGCAATTTGATCTTTATTGTCCTGGTCCCTAAAGTCAAGGTATTTGGTTAAGATTCTCACAATATGTTTACCTTTTCACTTAGAACATATTTTCAAAGCTTTGTGTAAAAGCATAAAATCTCAGTGAATGTCACTTACGTATGATTTCCTTCACACAGCAGGTGTTTCTGAAAATATCCCACAATGCTATTTATAGGGTACATTTATTTACAAAATAATGTCAAAACCACTTATTTGATGGGTGGGAGAAGGAGGAAGGAAGCAAATATGAAAAGATGTGAAGAAAATAGAATAAATAATATCAAAAATAAACCACATGTAATTTAACTATATAAATTATCTATTCAGCTTCTTTGCTGTGTTCTTATCAGCACACTCAAGCAGTGTATTTAGCAATGTGTAATGTGTGATAGTAGCATTCATGCTGTGTATAATTTCTCTCCCATATTTTTCAGACAGACAAAAGCACAGTCAAGGAGGCTTTTTTTGTTTGCAGGTTCAAAATAGAGATACATATATATGTACATATTTTTATATACCTACAAATATGCATATATTTAGAATGTTGTCTGTTGAGAAAGGCAGAGTGGAAGAAGACTGTCTTGCCCTTTCAGCAGAAAGTGGGGAGATTTGTGATAGTTTATTTTCTTTGTATAGTTCACAATTTCATGCCAATACTGGAAAATTCTGTGTCCTACAAGCTTTACAGACAATCTCTTCCTTTACCATAGCAATTTCTACAATAAAAGAGAAGCAGAGCCTTTGACAATGATGTATATGTTTGAACATGATGCAGCTGCTCAAAGTGCCAAGGCCTTGAATTTCATTGATTGGTCTGGTAGGTGTCAATGCAGAAATGGAAGAAATTATTGGTGGGGCCACAGTGACATGGACTGCAGAAGGGATGTGCTGTTCAGCTATTCAGAATTTCCCAAATGCCAAGTTTCATGTCCAGGTATATCATATCATTCTAATCTAGTCAAGAAGCAACCAGGCGTAAACGACAGTTGCCAGGTCATGATTCAGTGTGATCAGGTACAGTCTTCTAGCCAGATGGAGGTGACAGAAAGCATTACTTGTGGATGCTGCTAGGCAAAGGCTTAGCTGAAGAATCCTAAAACCACTACTAAACTGTCAATGTAAGTGATTAGTTATATCTTTCAACCATAGAGACTGTTGTGACTCAAAATTCTCCTTGCTTTCACTGCAGAAGCGAATAGGAGGATCAGCAAGGATATCTTACCTTCTCTCTACAATAACAGGTCCTCTCAGTTGTGCTGGTGAAATACTTTAATTTTCCATGTTCTGGTTGAACACTGCCATTTGGTACATGTCCTTGTCATTGACTCTTCCATGACCTTTCTCAGAAGACCATGAAGTAACAGTTGTTTAAAGGTGATGTAACTGGGATACCCATATGCAACATGTGATTTTATTGTTGATTTTTTAGGAGTTAGTTAAGGAGTATTTCTAGCCTATCATTTTCTCTTGAGAAAGGTACTTAGAAGCATGTTTCTAACGGTATAGCAGCATGTACTGTGTATAGTGACTGCCATCTCTTCCTGCAGTACTTGTGGAAGACTAATAAAACTTCATTAGATGCCATTCTAATTTTTGTGTAAGTGTGGAAGCCAGGGCTGCCAGCTGTTTTCTCCTTCCCCTACTTTAGGCATGCAAGATGCATCTCTGCCTGCAGAGATCACAAAAGTGATGCTTTGGGTTCTCCTTAGCTTCTTTGGCAGGTGACAGGAAAAGTTGATTAAATATAGAATCATAGAATCATAGACTCTATTAGGTTGGAATTGACCTCTGAGATCATCAAGTCCAACTGTTGACCTAATACCACCATGCTCACTAAACCATGTCCCGAAGTGCCACATTAACACGGTTTTTGAACACCTCCAGGGATGGTGACTCCACCACCTCCTTGGGCAGCTTGTTCCAATGTCTAACCACTCTTCTGGTAAAGAAATTTTTCCTAATGTCCAATCTAAACCTCCCCTGGTGCAACTTGAGGCCATTTCCTCTTGTGCTATCCCTTGTTACTTAGAAGAAGAGACTGACCCCCACCTCACTACAACTTCCTTTCAGGTAGTTGTAGAGAGGGATAAGGTCTCCCCTCATCTTCTTCTTCTCCAGACTAAACAACCCCAGTTCCCTCAGCCGCTCCTCGTAAGACCTGTTCTCCAGACCCTTCACCCGTTTGTAACCCAGATTATCAAAAAATAAAACACAAAGCCAAACCAATCACAGTGGCAGTACTGTCACTAGCAGACGAATGAACAAATCAGTAGAGAGCCATCTGCAGCAGACACTTGAGGTTCAGTGATGAGGGCGAGACTTCCAGATCTCAACAGGTATTTATACAATGAAAGACAATATCTGTGCTGATTCCATTCTCCTGCCTCCTCATCTTCAACCTGTTTTATTTTTCTTGCTCCATGGCTCAAATCTTCAGCTTTATGCAAAATATAGCTACTACTAACCAAATACCCTGTGTTTTATGTTCAGCAGCCCACATTATCACACATACTGGAATCAGCAAGATACTTCTAAATATTGCGCACAGCACAATTACTAAGCAAAACTAGATCTGAACACTGCATTTCTTGTGTAATGCTCATGTTATTCCCAGCTGAATGGCAGGGAAAAGACAAGTGACAACACCTTTAGTGCTAGAGGGCATCTTCAGACAGAACTGAGCTGAAACTGGATGGTAGGCTGAAATGCCTTAAGGGCAGACTTTCATGACCTCGTGGTTTAGAAATAATATAATCTCCTGGCTCCATCTGTCATCTTCCTATGTGGTGTGGGCCCATCACAGGTACTCTTGAAAGACTAGACTACAGGAGACCTAAGCTCAGGAAGGAAAAGCATTATTCCCATTCTGCTGTAGAAATCAGCCTGTTTGTAGAAGACTTGCCTTCCTAGGAAACAAGGGAAGTTGGGCAGGGAAAGCTCATGAAAGGGTGTAACTAGGTTAGGGCAGAATCAGGACCAAGCTTGATCCTGGAGCTTCCACCTAAGTGTTTATCGTGATGAAAACAGCTGCTACAACAATGTTGAGTTTATTTGGAACTGTATTTCACACACAGTTGCTCATTGTTCAGAAGTAATGCGCACAAAATGTTAAGGGCTTTCCAAACACTTCCCAACAAATCCTGATCAAAGGAGTTACCAATTTATTTCTCTGTCATTATTCACACAGCATTCAATGCAAACAGATGGATATTGAAACAGCAGTGGGTGGCCTCTTCATTTTATACTAATGTGGTGTTTTATTCATCTGCTACCAAGATCAGGGTAAAATACTCAGTAAATACCCTGTCATTAATACGTTTAAGGCTTTTCTCAAATCCTGATGACCTACAGACAGACTCTGCCACTCATTTGAGTCAAGCTATTGGGGGAAAATAGACCTAGTTAAGTCATTTTGAGATCAGGACCGGATTAAGTCCCTGGATCTTAATGGCAAAACCACCAAGTTTTTCTACTTTGTGAGTAAGCTTTTTTGATCAATTTTCAAACATTACAGAAACTTTAGACACAGAACACAAAGGAGCAGCCAATCTGCTTCATCACTTTTAAAGACAGACAGTTTCCATCCTGACAGTACAGCAGTTTCACCTTGTCAAGATGTCAACCAGGGTCCATTTCTCTGTGGTAACAGCAAAATTTTGGCACTGACTTTTATTACAACCTTCTTTGCAAGGGGAATTCAGATCCTAAAGAAGGGGAGCAAAATCCAGCCTAGTTCAGCCTCCCATTAAAATGGCACAACTTACATTTTAAATGTTCAACAACCCATGGCGCGTGAACAAAGAAATAGTAGTGATCCAGGAGCCATTGAAGCATCAACTTCCTTTTAATGTTCATGAGACAGGGGCAGGGAGAAGGAGAGGTTGAATGCATACTCAAAGGCCTCTGAGAAAATCAGCAGCAAAGACAAGGTTAGGACATCGTGCCTCCACATCATACAGTGCCTCAAAAGCAGTGAGGATTTGATTTGCTTATACTAGGATTGGTAAAACAAGGAGAGAAGGGGATTTTCCCCTACAGACAAAGAAGAACACCCTCCCCGAAACAACCCATTGTAAGAAAGATGGCCCCATTCAGATGCACATACAGAAACCTCTCATACAAGTCAGCAATCATCACTAGCACTCACCGTGGCATATAAAGCTGAGTAGATGCTCAAAGCAGCATGTTTGGATGGAAAGGATCTCCTTGCCTTTTCAATCACCTCCACATCCCCAGTGCAGATATTGCCGTTGTTTATGAACTGGTGGTGGGCCCGACAGTCGTTTCCAGTGTAGTTGGGTTTACATACAGTCAGGAAGTAGGGAGCTAAGTTTCCAGTCACAACCTGGCCAGCGTTTACAAATATGTCAGTGGCAAAAAGTCCAAATGCAAACACTCCTGTGAGGAAAGGTTAAAAATAACAATTATTCCAACAAGTTTAAAAAAAGTCCTGGCACCTGAAAGGAAGAGACATAATGAGAGGCAAGGGACCAAACCCTGCAGTCATTACCCGGAAAAAGCCCCTGCTAACTCCAGCAGAGTCCTGCATCAAAGACATGACACCAAAGACCACATGCTTATCTCTGACAGGTGCTTAACTCAGCCACTCCAGAAGGACATAGAAACGGGCCAAAAATGATAAGCAAGTGCCTAAGTACTTTTGTGATTCAAGCTCTCAACAGAACTATGAGCTACAGTTTTCACTGAAAACTCTGCAGCTATACTATGCCTGTAAAGTTTCCACTATGACAATGTTGCCGAAATATTGGATCAATAACTCTCTAAGACCAATTTGTAGGTTTCAGAAAACAAGGCATTCTTTATTGCAGTGCTGGGTGCACACGCAAATCATTTCACAAAGGTAAGCACGCTTTTTGGTCATATGGTTACAGCCTTTATAGACCTTTCTCATTATACATTCATTATCTTCCCCAAAAAGGTGGTATTATTCTAATGATTTCCCAGAAATGTTTTACATATGTTCCTTCGCCCTTGCAGATGCTCCATCAAGCAGAACTAAATGGGTCGGTGGTCCTTCGAGGGTCTCTAGTGGTTGCCCGTAGTCTTCCTCACGATGTCCTCTAGTTGAATCCTCCTTCTCGAGCACAAGCCAGGGCCCCTTTTCTGACGCAACCTTTTGTAACAATCAGTCGTGTACATGTTTGCTAGGTGTCTCCTTTATGTCTCATTAATGTCTCCTTAATGTCTGGTATGTATAGATAGCTTTGAGAGAGCTGCTGCTGTTCCTGGGTTCCTGTAGTTTCTGTACATTCCTCCTTCATCAGCAAACAGGCTATGCAGAGTTTCACGACCCGAAGTTTCACATAGTTTCATAACCCCTAATTCAAATGTTAGCAAAACCGTACTTCATACTAAAGGAGAAAACTTCACTTTATCGTTTCCTAACCTTGGGGAAGCATGGTGAGGACAAACCTCTCGGCGCTCCCACAGCTGCTCCAGGCTGCTACCCAAGGAGAGGGCTCTTCCCATCAGTACCCCAGTAAGGAATTTGTGTTACAGCACAGCTGTATCAGTCATACTACATCCTATCTCTGAGTGACAGTGGCAAGCCCCACTTCACACTTGTGCAATGAATCCATTTTATTCGATATTTCAGTATCCATTCGATATTTCTGTAACAGAAGGAGTGTTACCACAGCGAAGACAATTTTGGGGGCTGAGTTTATTACTATTCTTTATACGAGTTCATTTTTATTCATAATTAATGAACCGATGTGTGATCATGGATGTAAAAAGCCAGTGGTGGTCAAAGAAGGAGGTAGCCTTCCTCTGGTGCTAGACTGCTGGACTGGTCCCTGTCTTTTTACTGATGTAAGACAGTCTTCCTCCCATTTATCCTGCTAAGTGTCTGTGTTTAAAAGTGAAATGGAGAGAGCACTGACACGGCACCTTTATTTCCTTTATCCCTCTGCTAATATTTTAAATCCATGTTTTTCCACAGCTGCCAGGAATTCCTCATCTTCATTAGCCAGCGCACAAGCAAGTTCAAAGGAAAAAAGGCAGCAGATACCTCTGCAGCCTGGTAAAACAGCAAGTTATTCCAGAGATGAATCTTGTTTTATATACAGCTCTTTGGCCACATTCTTACAATTTTTTGGCACAGCTTGCTTTAAATGGCGTCTTTCTGAATGCACTGTGCAAATCACGGGGAATGCAGTGAGGATTATTACCTAGCCCTTTATAATACTTAGAGAAATCTAAGAGCCAGGCAGTCTGTTCCATAATCTTTATTGTGTAAGTAAGTACAAGCCAACAACTGGGGTTTTTCAGAAAAAGGTCATCGGCTTCACAAAGTTATTTCAATGTCTAGACAGTGCATAGGTACAAAAGTAGTCCAGTATTTTTCTCAAAAAAAAAGCCGTTTCCACACCTGTATTTTCTCAATATTTGGTAAGAGTAAAAAAGCGCTGGCCCAGACTCAACTGCTGAGGGCTGCATTACTCTGCAGAACAGCAGAACAAGCCATGGTGGAAACCTTTATCATGCTCTGACTGTGATGCATATTGATCACTGTAATTCCCCTCTTGCAATTCTGCCAGACTGCGCCTTATGAAAATCATAGCTATGTGGAGCAATGAATTCAGCTAGCAGGAATTTAACCCTTCCAGACTGATTACACACCGTGTAGTCTCTGGAGACTTTGAGATAGGGTTGGCTTTAATTGATGTAAACACCGTTACACCAGTGAGCCTAGGTAGCGGTGGAGAGTCCCCTAATGGCTTTTATACCTCAGGAATCCATCTGTTCAATGACCTACAACAGCTAAGATAACTGACCAGAGCATGACAACGCAGCGACGTGATTGCCAGGTTTTTAGAGGCAGACAAATCAGTGCTGAAAGGCTTCATGGCAAGGGCAACTAGCCCTAGCTCTTCAGGGTCATACAGCCATGATATAATGCCAGAGAGAGAGAGAATGGGAAAACATGTATCTCTTCCAGACTTCGATGCTCAGGTGTAATGGGAAGTCATGTCATCCTGCTAAGGAGCAAGTGCTTTATCTCACTGTGCTTACTCTGGCCTAGAAAACCTGGGAGTGAACTTTAGTCCAGAACTTAGCATATGCTGAGGAAAGACGTAAACAGTGCAAGCCACATGGGAAGAAGACCTACAGTCTCTACAGCTGGTTACGAGCAGAAAGGATGGACAGAGGTTCATTTAATTTACATAAAGCCACTCTTTCCCCTCATCCACACTTGTCACAGTCTGGCTGCACAAGGAGGCCTTAAAGAAGGAGCAGAAGCTATTTCTGGAAAGGCTTCCTGACTTTTTGTCACTGTCTTGGCTCTCAGCTCTGTTTGTGTGTGTCAGGAGCAACTAGAAAGAAGAGGCTAGAAGGCAAATCAGTAAGCAAAATGTAACTGGGATAGAGACTAATTTAGGCCAGGCTATATTGCCTGCTACTCTCTTTAGCTTCCCCAGAGTCCAAGAAGAAGGAACTAAGGATCAGATTTGAACAGATCTTACATGTCCAGTAAGAAAGACCTTAGACAAAAAAAATGTGCAAACCAAAAAAAAGAACAAACAAGGAAAGACCTGATCAAAAATGCTGAGGACAGACAACATGAACCTCGAATCTTTCCAGCTCCATCCACCTGAACTAACACTTGCCTTGGCAGAAGAATCTAAATCTTCAGCAGCTTCTATTTTGAATGCTTCAGTTCTAGTTTCTCCACTTACACATGCCCCTAAACTACTGCCAAAAAGTCCTCCAAGCACAAATCTGTAATTTCTGGGCTCTCACTCACATGCTACTCTAACAGTCTTTCTCCTACCAAGCTCCTTGTGTGGCTGTTCATCAGTGTTGCCACCTGCAGCTCTCTATTGCTTTCACTAAGCGACATCTGCCCTGAAGAAGAATCCAGCTCTCCTCGCTCACTGTAACCTCAGTACAACCCTGTCTTCTACCTGCAACTCATGTTCAAGCTGCCTCTTCTTCCACTCTGAATCTGTCCAACATGAGTGACTGCAGCTGCTTGTTGACTCCACGGAAACTCTCACTATTACAGACATTTCAAATGCCACTAATTTGAAACAAAACAGCAACAATAACAAAAAAAAAAGCAAAAAAAAATCAACAAAAAGACCCGGGGAGTTGTGGGAGAGCAGCTGAAGAGACATCAGGAAGACAGAAGTGAGAAGCCAGTGGGTGGAAATGAGAATGAGGTAGAAGGCTTTATTAGAGAAAAACCATGAAACCCTTAAATGACAAAAGAAACAATGCATTGAAGGGCTTATGAGACATCAGAAGCTGTGCTCTTCGGCAACTTATCACCATGTCTTCCATCAAGTGCATTTATTTAGGCACTCCTCTCTCTCCCAGTGCCCAGTGAATTATCTGAATTTGTCACACTCAATGTGCTTAGAAAATGTTCATATCACATATGCACACTTAAGCACCCCTATGTTTTTTAAAGAAGATTAGAGTTTCAGTGGAGGGAGTCCCTGGAAGGACTCATGACTCTATGGAAATGCTGATCCTCAGCTCATCTCTGAAGGTTTTGCTCTAATGGTCCTGTGCATCCAATAAAGCTGTACGTTTATAGTCCTGTGACTCAGACTCTGCTAAACCACCCTTCATCATTATATCTTAAAGGGTGTTGTAAAAGAAGATCTGTATCATTAATCCATTTTACAACTGGAGAGATGGGGGTTGCAGGGAAATTTATTGTCTGTTGCCACGGCATCAGGAACTGGCTCAACAGCAAGCTGCTTCCAAGCACTCATAATCTGATCCCAGGATTGGACTGGCTTTGATCTCCTAGAGAAGACCCCACAAAGCTCCAGGCATCTACTGCCTCTTGTGTCTGCCTGCTACACCTGTGAGTGTCTTGCCTGGATACTGTTCCCTCAAGACATAAGAAGAAAGACATGTGGTCTGAGCATGCAAGAAGAAATTCAGTTCCCAGTGCAAAAGTACTCTGGAGCCTCAGGACTCCTCCCCACAGACACACAGGATTTCTTTCTTCCTTGCTGCTTCACAACTCTTAAGTTTTCATCTAGACAAAAGCCAGCTCAGAGCCTGGCATAAAAGGGAACAGTAAGGTTTGATTTGTCCCCAACACAGTGACCTGTTTTTCATTGTGGAGGTTCTTCAGTAATAAGAAGGGAGACCTACAGCAGTATAAGCTGCTGCAGCAGTTTATGTTAGAGACAGCACAGCCAAATTCAGATTGAGCTCTGCTAAAAGGCAGCCAGTTAATAACGTGCATTTTTTCACAGTGAACTTCAGATCCAAGGCAGAGAGAAGGATAAGGTCAAGCAAACTATGTCCTGCAGCTGCCTAGGGAATTGACATCAGAGCTCTGGGGTATATCTATCCTATTACAATAAACTCAACGTGTGTATAAATCTTGTAAACCTTTATTTGCTGAACTA